GGAACTTTAGGTACTGGAAATTATTCCTGGGTATATTACGCACTTTCTGTGTGGCTTTGGACAAAGTGCTTTGGCCTTGACTTTGTACCAGGAAAGGAAATGGGAGTGTAGCTATTGATTTCAGTGGGATCTGGATCAGGACCTTTGTCTCTCCATAACTTTTAAGTTTCCCGTCTGCATGTAGGAATTATAAAGGAGTAGGTCGGAAGTTTTGTTTTAAAACCTCACTGTTTTCCATTTACAGACTTCAAGCACGCTGCAGAGAGAGCCCAAACGAGGCTTCCCAGATTCCAGCTCTGGTGGAGCCTCTTGGGCTTCCTGGGGCTCTGGCTCCCAAGCAGACCTCCTTGCAGGTTGGGTCACATTCCCTTTTGCAGAGAATTTTGAGTTTCCAAGGCAGCAGAAGGCTTTTTTAGCCAAAGCCTGAAATAGCCAAAACATATTCTGGGAAGAAATTACCTTTCTCCTTTCTTGAATATTTCCTTCTTACCTGCTACCAGCAAGTCTGTCAACTAATCAGTTCAGATAATGTCTCTTGCAGCGCTCTCTCTAAATGTGTGGCTGTACACTGCCTAACATAGGAAGCCCAAATTTGCTTGTGGCTTCAAATTATTGCTGTAAAACAAATAATATTAAAACACCATATTCTGCATCCGCCTGACAAATATATACTTATGGGGCAGCTCAGTCAAGAGGGAAAAAGGGGTGGGGGATCATTATCAGAACTTCATTTGAAAATCAGAGCCCTATAAAGATGGTTGAAAGAGAGTTTCAAGGTAATCCTGATTCTTTCTCTGCTTGCTGTGTTTTCCATCCTTACTCATAACTTCAGGACTCCATCCCAGCCCCAACCTAAGCAGTATTGACAGGAAAGGATTATCCACAGGAATTTGACATATTTACGTATAGAGAGTGCCAAGGGAAAATCTTTCTGAGTGGAACAAAGCCGGCCTTATTTGAACCAGCTTCTTCCTCTGGAATTGTGGATGGACACCAGGGTGGGGCACAGGAGGTAACTGGGTAATAAATATTTAACCTAAGCTAATTTTCCCGAATGGGATAGGTAGCAAAGTGAGAAAATGTTTCTTTGGCTTTTAATTCTGATTTTTTATTTCTAGCTTATTTCATGGTGAAATTAGAATCTCTTGAGAAAAGATTTGTTCCCCAACACTAAGCTGAGCATCTAGATAGCATCCCCTTGGGAAGGATTCTGAAATGTAATATTCGTATAAACGTCTCCACCAAAGGAACACCTGCTCCACATGCTCCAATACCAAGAAAGAGCAGAGTTCAGGGACCTCTCTCTTAGGTCTAGCAGGCTACAACTGCCACACTGCACTATACATCTTTTACTGATTCTGAATAGCTCTAGGTGTCAGTATCTGCCTTATAAATACAGGAATCATCGAACCCTGTTCCTATAAACAGACTTCTGATTTCTCCTTCTCAAGTGTGGGCAGGCTTTGACCCCTGTGAAGATATATGACACTGGGAGCTTGCAAAACATTTTATACTAAGAGATTCTAGAGAGCAAACCTTAGAGAGGGTTTGCCGTGTGAGCAAGCGGAAAATACACTTTTTGCTTTGGTGTCTGAGGCAGAATTACTCTTCGAGTATCCGTGGTCAGTGTTAGACCAAAGGGATGCTTGGGAAGAGGAATCATTTTGCGTGTTCTTTGGCCATCTCATGCCAGGATTGGCAAATAAGTGTCGATAAAGACCTATGTGTAAATATCCTGACTCCCCATCGCTCATATCCCTGAGTATCTGCTCCTGGCTGGCCGAGAACGATGACAACTAAAATGCATGCCAGAAGGGCCGGGTAACAGCAGCCTAGGAGCACTTTGAGGCGCACCAGGGAATAGCATCCCACACTGCTAAATACTGTATACGGATGATATTAAAAACAAGAGCAGAGCAACCGTGACTTCCCCCTGCCCAAACAATTTATAAACTAAGCACTTCACGACACAACAAATGGGTCAGGGACCAGTTATTAGCAAAATGACTACATTTGGCAGAACAAGTAGCAGTTGCTTCTATAATTAGCCTAGCACTGGGTAATGCTGCGATGAGAAATAAGGACAGGATTTTTTTTTTTTTAGGGGAACGGTATAACATAAGAAGAATATTAAATTTGGCAAATGATGTCGTTGTGAGACTCAGATAACGTGAGTAAACTTCCTGTGTCCTTGAGAGCGAGCAGAAAAAGATCCGGGAAAGCAGGCGCTTTCAAGAGGCGCTGCGCTTTACAAGAAGAAGATGCCACTTCAGCCATCTTCTGGGGGCGTGTTGAGGGAAGGGTGCCGGGGTAGGGTCGGTGGGACGGGGCG